CCCCTCGCCTAGACTAAAGGCAAGCGTACAGCGAAGCCGAAGGCTAATGCAGTGTTACAACACGTGGGTGATAAAACGGTCGGGAAAGGGGACTCGACGACCGCTACGCGATGTGCGAATGTCACTTGCATTAAAAAACTTAAGGCAGGGCTTTTAATGGTAGGAACGGGTAAAGAAGGTAGAGTAGGAGCAAGGGGAGGTGGAAGATGGGAGAACACGGGGTAGGGGGTCTGCACAATGTTGTCCATCAGGCAAGTCCGGTGGCTCCTCGATGACAGCAGCCTTGACCCGATCGACACTGACCACGTCCTTCTTCGCACCAAGAACGATCCGGCAAGTCTTGACTTTGCGTCAGAGAAAGCGGAATGGACTTTCGGATGATGGCTCCAGTGGTCTTCGCACTCAATCGCATCGCGGAAGAGTTCGATGCGAAACCGAGGAAAGTGAGTGTTGAATTGCCGCAGGTGATGCACAAAATTCGTAGGACTCAAATCAGCACCACATGAGGTTGGGGTGACTATCTCGCCTGGTAGCCGGGGTGTAATGCCAAAAACGGTTGTTTCTGCTTCCATGTTCGGCAAGGGGATGGCTTTGGCCCAGCGAGTGTAGCGGTCAACACAGGTAAGCAGATGCGTGAAACCGTTGGATGGAGGCAAAGGACCTACAACATCGAGGTGCACATGACTGAAACAAGCGTCGGGGCTGGGGAAGGTACCGGGTGGAGACTTGTTGTGGCGGTGGACCTTGTTCCGTTGGCAACTCGGGCACGACCGGGCCCAAGCTTTGACATCCTTGTTCATGCCAGGCCAGACGAACGTTTCCGCTAGGAGCTTCTGTGAGGCTCGGATCCCAGGGTTGTAGAGGCCATGCAGAGTGTAAAACACAGTTCGACGCATCAAGGATGACACAAAATGCGATGTAAAGGAGTCGAGACATCACAGAGGATGGTGCCAGTACCGATGGTGAGCGGAATTAAGAAACTAATTTTGTATCGATAGTGCCTTTCTGGGGTTAACGAATATAAAATCCCTATTCCAAATTCCAATGTAGCAGGAAATTAATCCAGGTGCTTTTTCTAGATGTTTTGCAGTACTCCTTTACGTATCTAATATTCAGAAGATGAATTGGCGAACATACGTTTGTTTTCGATAATTCTCATCAGGCCTTTACATTTATAGGGTAATTAAGTAAATGGACTATGCGGGTTGGTAGAAAAATTAGAACGGTTGTCAGGGGAGGGGGAATGGGGGGGTCCGAACGGGGTCAACATTTGATCAGCGTTAGGGGGAACTGGTAGTCGGTTGAGGTATTGAGCCGCTGGCTGTTGGATTAGCAGCTTTTGACCATCTAATATTGTGTTTTCTTATATTGTAGGAGCCCGCCAACAAAGAAGTACCTTAACCCTCTTGTTCGCAATGCGAGGGCCATTCAATA